AAAGTTTTTACAATGAATCTATCTGAAAATTTTATACTGTAGGTGTTGCTGTTTCATATCAATTTGCTATCTTTCGCATAGCATCAATATTTTCATATCGTCTCACTTGGGTCAAAATGTTGAAAAATAACGAAAAATTCTGTTATAAGAAAGAAAAATACTCATACGTATTGTTTTCGTTTTCTGTCATCTGTACTTGATACAAGACCAGACGACAAGACTATAGATTCGTAGCTAAGTGAACTAAAGAGACGATATGAAAATATTGATGTTATGCGAAAGATAGCAAATTGATATGAAACAGCAACACCTACAGTATAAAATGTATCTACTTACTGAAGAGCGTTGATGGCACAATAGATAAAACGTCTGTTTATGACGAGACAGAATCGAGGTTCGAATCCTCGTCAGCGCGTAAACTTTGTTCGAATTTTTTTTAAAGGCCCCCGACTTTAATTTTCGGAAGTGCCCCGGACTAAACATCATGGGCCCATAGCAATCGACCACGCTGATTCCGAATATCGCCTTCCCCCGGACTCCAGTCGCGTTTGAAAATTTCGGAGTCCGGTGATATGAATGAATAAAACACCACCCAACAAATGGCATAATAGCGCATATCCTACAGTCCGTCATTGCAGATCGCCACGAAGTTGGTGCCAGCAGATAAAATATGTAAACTTTAATTTCTGACATTTTCGGTTCGAGAGCCAGATTTGTCAGATGCTTGCTTCACGGTGAAAAGTGTTAATTATCAAACATTAGCGTTTTTCTCGCTAATTAACGAAACTGATGCCAGCAGATAAAATATGTAAAATTTAATCTCTGACATATTTTATTCAGGACTCGCAGATCTAGGATGGCTTGCTGCTGAGGAAAGTAGTGATTACGTGTTTTTCCTCCTCGAATCTCAATGTGTCGCTAATTTACGTTTAAGTGGCGTCAGGTGTCACTACTCTACTATTGCGCACGGACGGACGAACATTTCGTTTGTATGATGCAAGGCTTTCAGTCAAGGGAAAAATCATCTTCAGCAAGAGAAAACCACTGTGGCAAACTATTGATTACAACGGCTTTTCTCCGATGAACCATGGAATAGATATTATGGAATAGATTTGAGCACATTTGTCTGATAATTTCTCTTTTAGATTCCGGGTTTTTTCCATGAATAATTTCTATTCGAATACGATGAAAAACGTAAGATAAAAATAGGTTGAGCATTGCTTTGCGACAAGCAGTCATTCATTTTGCCGTAAACCCCATTAGTGCATTCAGTCTATCTTTATTCATCCTTGGTTTTTTCTCATTCAAATATAATGACGCAGCGCATATATAAATAGTAAGAGTATCATTAGAAAGTGTGTGCGCAAGACATTATGTTGCAATTTGCTTTTGTTCTTTTACTCGTTGTAGTCTCGATTTCATACTGATGTTTCGTGTTGCATGATTCATTGTAAAAACTTTTATTGGCTGAGCAATCTCACAACAATTGTTAAGACTGCCATAGAATTGTATACGCTAAACTTACTGTAATATTAAACTATTTACGGCCGTAAATAGCTGTGACTGGTCATTTTGATAGTCGCAGTATTACGATTGTTTATCAACGTGTCGTACACGGTCACAAACGGCCGCAACGCACTATTTCTTTTACCAATTACAATAGATTTCGAAAATTTACGGCGCGGCAATAAACGATTATAATGCGATGGCTGTCAGAACGTTGAAAACACGACCGTACATATGGTTTACGATCTAGTTACGAAGGTTCACGATCGCGGCTTTAAAATGATAGGTCCTAAAACAGTTTTGGTATTGAAGAGAATCATCTTCTGGTATATGAGGAAGATAAATCCCCCCACGGGGATTTAGATAAAAACGGGGGCCCTCACCGGTTTTTTTCCAGCAGTTTGTGGAGGACACTTCGAAGTATACGTCTCAACAAAGCGTCCAGTTCCCGGATTTATAGTTTTTGATAAAAAAAGTTTTAAGTTTTTTTCGAGTTTTTTGCCCTATTTTTAAAATTTCAATAAAAACTTCATTTTTTGATTTGAAGGTTTGATTCTAGCGTAGCTCGAGAGAGAACATTAATTTGAATAAAGAAAAAAACTTTACATCGTTCCCAAATGAAGTTTGACGGAGAAATTTAACTTTCACTTTCGCGAGGAAATTTTAGAGCTAAAAGTATTTTGGAAAAACCCTTACGGCTAGTTTCGCTCGAAGCAAACACTTTGAAACAAAACTCTTGATATAAAAGTTGTTCAGAATCGACTTCCGGAGTCCCTCACGAGAGCTTTTTATAATATTTTCTGAACTGCTGGAAAAAAACCGGTGAGGGCCCCCGTTTTTATCTAAATCCCCGTGGGGGGATTTATCTTCCTCATATAAAAGCATTATTTTTATATACGAAAACTTATTTATGAGAGAAAATGAGTTCTTCATAGCTTCGTCCAAACAACAACAGGTGCTTCGTTTGAACGTAAAACGGGATCTTTTTCAAGCATGTATGATTTTTGACACAAAATAAGAGGGGTAGGAGGGTAAGTGACGCTGGGTAGATCAGGATGAGGTTGAGGGTAAGGCTGAAGGTATATAGTTGTCAGTTTGCTGCGAAACCCTTATACCCATAGATGAGACCAATACCGGTGACCGGCCGATCCGGTCCAGTCAGGTCCAGGACTAGTACAGATTTCAGATCGGCCGGTCGACCGGCATTTAACGATCTAACCTTTTTGCTTCCTGATTTTGTCACAGAGACTCGTACAACGTTCTTATTGGTCTTAATTAGAATCTCGTAATGGAATTATATGTATTTTTATAAGCTAGAAAATAGGAAAGAAATCAATGAATAGCGATTGTGTGATGAAATCTAATACAATAGGGAGCCCAGAATTTCGGCCCAAGCAATTTTCGTCCCGGACTTTCGGCACAAAAAACCGTCGGAATTCCGATCCACCACGGTGCTGAGAAGGACGCCATGGTGCTGAGCAGGACGGCATACTGCTGAGCATGATGCCGTGGTGCTGACCATTTACAATAAGTTTCAATTTTGTAATTTGTTTTTTGAGAACTAAGCGGTTTTTGAAAATTCAATATTTTAAGAAGATGCATTTGTTCTGTCTGAAGTTTCAGGGTATTCTAGTGGCCCTCAGAACTCTTCATGAGCGAAATTTCCGGTAGAAAGTTCGTTGATTTGATTTTGTATATAAACCAGTGTCACAGGAAAAAGTCCAGTAAAACGGTGATAATTCAGCCCCACAAGCCCAGGACATGGGAACAAATCCTCTTACGACTATTCTAGTCTCGTGGTCTTCTACGTATGCCCAAAATATGAGCTCAAAAGCGGTTGGGCACCTCGGTATGTTCCCTTGTCAGCACTATGCTATGGCGTTCTGGCCAGCAGTATGTCATCCTGCTCAGCACCACGCCGTCCTGCTGAGCATTACGTCATCTTGCTGAGCAGTATGGCGTTCGTCTCAGCACCGTGTTGGACCGAAAGTCCGGCGATCTTTTGGCCAGGTCCGAAATTCCGGTGATTTTTCGGGCCGCGCCGGAAATTCCTTGGGCCGAAATGTAACCCACCCTGAAAGCAACACGTACCTTCCGTCTGGATAGACGTTTAGCGGTAGAAAGAGGTGCTCATAGAGTCTGTAAGTCATATAGAACACTGGAACAGTAGTAGCAATAGCATTTGCGTTATTTTAATGTAAATCTCTTCTTCTTCGACCTGAATATAGAATCAAACACGTGGTGACAGTGACGCTAGAAAAAAAAATACGATCAACATTTTCGTTTTTTTTGGCGTTCTCTCTTGTTGACTTTAGTCGTAGATGTTCGGTGAGAACGAACAAGAGGACGACAAAAGCTTGATATTGGTCGTGAAAGAATACTACGTATATCTCTCAACGACATATTCGATGATTTAATGATAACAGTTATTCAGAAACGTAGGACTTAGGGTGTAGGTGATTCTGGTCTGTGCAAATAGTCATCCTACAGCAGTCCATTCACTTTTACTTGCAATTTCAAATATTAACGAATTAGTTGCACCCACACCCTTAATATCGGCTACCGTCATGTTATCTTTGAATATTCAATTTTAGTTTGTGAGACCACGTTGGGAAAGGTTTATTTACTCAGACACTGTGGTGACAAAATAAGGCTAGTGTCGAGCATTGTGAAGTTACACGATGGATAAGACATCTGCTAATGTAGATTCAACACCCAAAAACAACGATGTTGAAATAAAAACGAACAAAATCGATGCTTCAGAAAAGGATCATCAAGCGGTAGAAGACTCGAACGACGTTATTCAACCAACTCAAGGTTCAAAGAAGTCACAAGATATTGTGTCCAATTCGAATCAATCGATTCAAATATTGTCAATTGATGTCGAATGCGTAGCTACAGGATATTCTCATCTGGATCGAGCACCATGTAGTGTGGCCATTGTCAATGATCAGTGTGAGATCCTCTTCGATTCATTGATCAAACCAGATAAACCTATTGTCAGTGATCTGTTTCCCTTCAGTGGTGTGCGTAAAGTAGATCTTCACCATGCTCCATCTTTCGATGAAGTAATCAAAAAGGTAATTAATATGAGTTAAATAGTTGTGTTCTTTTGACTATTATTCAGTTAAACTCGTATGACCTTTCACATGGTTAGTATATTGCTTTGAAAAAGTACATATATATTCTACTGGGAATGTTCTACAAAACATTCAGATTTCGAATAGAGCAAATCAATTCCCATGTGTTGCGCGAGAGATGAAAATGGAAAATATTCAACCGATTTCTCGAAAATCTTGAAGCGATAGGACGAAGGCAGTTTAACGTTCATGTTCTGTAGGTGCATTCATTTTTTACGCCAACAACTTTGATTGTTGGCCAATCGATTATGAGTGATGTCAATTGGATGAAACTTGAGAAAGATGTACATTACAGTGATTTGATTGAACTGGGTGACGAATTTGAGACGTTCAATCCCAAATATGGCAATAAGACGTGAGCAATACAATACTCTTCGAAGCATTCCACTGCATAGATTGAGTTCTCTCTTCAAAGGTACTTTTCTCTAGCTCATGAAGCATATGTGTTGTTAAAAATCGACCTCAATGCCACCGAAGGTCATCTCGCTCGAAATGACGCCAAAGCAAGTATACAACTATATAATAAATATCTAAAGGTAAAATAGAATCGAAGTGGCTTTGATCGAGTTTATTTTTGTGACTTTCTTTCAAAAGGATAAAGACCAGTCGAAGCTTGAACAAGCACGTCGAGAACTTCTTCGTGCACCAACAACAATTTCACCTCTTCGACGTTTTTCTGGTGTCTATGAGAAGGTTTGCCTGTCTGCATTTAATCCAGGATTTTGTCGCTGCGGACAACCAATGGTTAATGAATTGCACAAACGACCTAATAAAAAACGGAGCCAAAATTCAAATGATCAAAAGGAGGAATTATCTCCATCGACGAATAAGAAAATGAAAGTCATCGACGAGAAAAACAAGAGTTGAAATATTGATTGAAACATAATGCCATAACTTTATAAACCATGATTCATATTTGATTAATAAAACTTATTATTGCTGGTCTTTCTCGTTAATACAATCGGTAAAAGTAAAATAAAAACTTTGCTAGCCAAATGAATAATTGAGGATGAGAACAGCCACCATAATCTATAGATTTTACTTTACCTACGATGATCATCAGTCGGTCATATGTGAAGGTAAAGGTTCAATAGTATCTAGGATAGGAAGAAAAAACAAGAATGAATGATTATTTCAAATAGTAGAAAAGTACAATTGATAGTGTTTAATTTTTCTGGCTCGAGTCTAATTTACAGTAGTCAGGCAAGCTGCCATGACATATGTTTGACATATGTCCACCTTGCTCAAAGGTCTTTTCAAATAGCTTACTAGTCTATCGTATTAGTGCGAAGAATTATAAACAAATTACACGTTTGTACAGTGAATCAGAATAAGTCTCCGAAAAGAACTTAATCCAGAAACAGTAGATATCATTGTAGCACTAGTTAGTCCAGCATGCGATGGTCTTAACATTTTACTTGAGGAATGGAGATCTTTAGATGGTCGTGTTTCAATTTAAGAAAAATCTAGACAGAATTAATTCTAACTGCTATCACACAGAAGGTACTGGTTATTTATTATTAATATAAATTGTAAATGTTTTAATCAATTTAATACTTTAAACATCATTATATTTGTGAGCTTTTATTTATAAGAAAGCAATGAAATACGATAATGCATAACACACTTTCCATGTTCGTGATAACTATAGAATCATTAAATTCATCAATTGTTTCCCAACGTAATATTTCACTTATCTTCAAGTGAAATAGGTGTTTCGATTTGTTTAAAATCAATTAATGCACATTGCACAGTTATATTATGAATTTTGAATAACTTGGTTCGTTGATAAAAGAAGTAGCTGATAATAATTGAACATTGCTGAAGTACAAACTCAGATCGTCCAAAACAGTATTGTTAAAGATCCACAAACTTAAGTCCGTCAAATAATTACTCTTCATATTTCCTTTACAAATGTTTAATTATAATCGACAATTATACAAATCCAACCTGTTTGCTGCATGAACTATGCAGTTTCGTTTCGACGTCGAACGGTAATAAATTTGATACATCGCTATCCGTAAAGCAAAGTTAAGGCAAGGAATTATACTCTCCTCTACAAACTATCTTAGGACTGACCCCCGATGAACACCAAAGAATTTAGTAACTGTACAAACATTATCAAGTTGGAATAAATTCGATGCGAAGACACCAGGTCACCGACAGTTTTGTATTAGTAAAAGTAATATTAAACAATGCAATTACAGTGTCCTCCTATGGTTATTCTATATCGGGACACTAGGACACCGACAGTTTTGTATTAGTAAAACTAGCAATGTTAAGCAAATAAATCTTAGTGTCCTTTGATTCCTGTTGTATGAAGATATTCTTGAGACACTCTCAGTAAGAAAGACATGTGCTTATGGAATTGACATGATGTATTGGACAGGTATTTATCGAGAAGGATATCTTGTAATTATGATTAAATCAGAGTAAATTATTCAATGTGTACAAAGTTTAGTCATAGGTATGGTGTAAGGACAGTATGTCATGATCCGAAGGGTCATACTCAGATGGCTTTGGATCAGCTATAGTTGTTCTCAAATAATCTCAGAATAGAAATCATGAATAAACTACAAAGTTCTATACAGATAGTGCAGTGTTGATTCCACGAAATTTTGACTTCGTAGGAAAAAGAGGATAGAAGAAAGTAATCGGCCAATACGAAGATGAGTTGATCGTCATCCTAGTGGTCGGAAGGACGTTTATCACCACTGGGCGATACCTTCTTCATAGCAGGTTGACATTTTATTAATCAACGACATCGATTACGAAGAGATAAAGAAAAGATACTGGAGTCTTAGACAGTCTATACTCAAATTAGATTTATTTTATTTTATTTTATGTTATTCTATTTTTTTAATGTAATATATCCGGAAAAACGATGAAAGATAATTTTGAATTCGAAGGATAAAAGTCGGAGAGAAAATCTCTAACTAAAACATGAACAGGCGAAGGATGTCAAAGATCCAAAAAATGTCCACTTTAGGTAAAGTCCTATAGCATTTGGAACGAATTTACTATATCCTGCAAAAAGACAGTTCGCTTGGAATGCTACTGATGGATATTGTGCTGCACTTTTCTCTCTACTACTGGAATCTTGTTCACATCTAGCGACACTTTTGAAGAACTTTCTCTACTTCTCATGAGACTTCTCTTTTTACACAGATGATCGTTAACTTCAGCTAGCGGACATTTCTATTCTTTCACAGATTTTTCTTTCTAGAACCATAAGGACTTTTCTTTTTTACTCAGATGATCATTAATTTCAGCTAGCGGACTTTTCTATTTTCTAGGGGATTATTGTTCTCCCTAGCGACACTTTTGAAGAACTTATATTTTTCTAACGACACTTTTCTATAACCGTACGGATTTTTCTGTTTTGCATAGACGACTTTTGTCCAGCGGACTTTTCTATTCATTTCTATTTGTTTAGTTGTTTATTCATTTGTTATTTAGTATCTTGTTGTTTGTCCTATTTTTATGCAGAGCTCTGATGAGTGTTTCATTATTTTAATAAATAACAAGAAACGCGACGGCGAAGCTTCTTTCTTCTTGAATGATTCTTGTCTGGGTATCATGATTAAAAAAATTTTGTTTAATAATCAAGAAAAACAAGATCTGGAAAGAACGATGTCAAGGTCGTCGTCTAGTGAAGATTGGCAATGTAATATAAAACAAAAAACCAAATACGAACGATGTAAACAAGACGTCCAAAGGAGCTCGTTGTATTTTTTTCTTCTCGTTTCACCTCCTTATCTATCGCTATAGTGTACATTTGGCTTGTATATACCCAGTTAGTTCTTTATCAATTGTCATGTAAAGGACAGAAGTCATAGCAGGAAGCATGTTTCTATTAGGTTGGTAAGACAGTTTTTTCGTTTTTTTCGAAAATTTTCTTTTTCTTTTTTAGCTTCAAGAATAGAACTAGCGTTCAACAATGTACGCTCCATTGCTGTCTATGACTGGTCGCCAACGCTCAGGAAGAGAAAGGACCCCGGATTCGCAGAAGTCCTGGGACCTTTGGCCGAAGAAGTTGACGAAGTCCATTTTGAGGTTGTTCTTGTTATTCAGCTTTTTCTCGCGTAAATGGTTAGACAGAGAACAGAATAAGTGGTAGTCCGTGAGAGCTAGATATTCCCCCATATTGAATATCGGTTGTATAAACAGAACGGGAATCAAAGCAAAAACAGGTTAGTGTGGTACGCGTCCACATATTTCTAAGGCTTTGTCGCGATTTGCGAACAATCGTATTCATCAACAACGAGAATCTAGTTCGTTAAAATGGCCAATCGATCATCTTCACCAGATTTTCCGTCACTGGGCCAAGACATAAGCTACGAAGAGGTCGAAATGATCCAGGACTATAAAATAACCAAAACAATAGACAAAAGAACAGGCGCCGTAATCAGCGAAACTAAAAAGCCTGTTGGCTCACCCTATCCTGGAAATCGAACAAGAGTGACCAAAGGCACGAGATATAATATCTCGCGATGTGCTGGACCCAGCGGCAAGCCGATGCTCCATTTCAAGTTGCTTCCGAATCGTAGCAAAGCCGAAGATGCTGCGCGCTCAGCTGGGAAAGGCAACACACCCGTTCATCACACTGCTCATGGATCTGGACAACGGCCACATTTTCATCCAGCCGATCGTTATGGCAATATTATTAAGGATGGTGCGCACTATGAGTATCCTGGTTGATAAAGTGCTCCCATTACTTTCATATTCATTCTATGAACAGTTCTCAGTAATTTGTTTCTTAAAAAGAATAAATTTCATTCATTGATACAATAACTTCAGATTAATCTGTAACGCGGAGAATTCACATGAGTGGGTGCATTCATTGTACTCAGTACTGAACTGCACTGAATAAATAGAGTCCACTTCTTAGAACAGGAATGAAATAAGGACTAGCTGTCAGCGTGTCATATAAACAGAATAGCAGTGGATTTTAATATCATTTTCAAAGAGAATCTGGAGCTGCTAGTATGAATGTGTAAAAGATATCGTGACTCTAAATTGCTATGCATTATATCATATTTACCCGGTCGGCAGTGTAGTCGCTTGCCAAAGTTTCAAACTTTTCATTACTCCTTAAAGGAGAAATCGAGGGGGAGTTACAGAATTCTGAGCTTGTTTACTGTAAAGTTTTGCTTTTGCTTCAAGTTTTCTTGTGGAAGTAGTAGTAAAGGAATTCTTGAAATTGTAAGATTGAGGTGGAAAATTGGTATTCCATATCGAGAAATTTGTCTCTCAATAGCGAAATAATTTTACTTATTATATCCGAACCAATATTTCTCATATCCTACGTTCTATGTCATTTCGATCTGTATGACCGAAACATAGCATGTAAAACATTTCTATGATATTTCTCTATGATTTAGTATCTTGTGTTGCTATGCTTTTTTAGATTTCGCACTCACCTTTCTACTGATTTAAACTTTTATATTGTGAGAAAAGTAAAACAGGTAAAACAACAGAAGTTGAATCACGAATTAGGAAGCATGGCTTTCCCAGAAAAAAATAAGAAGAACGAATATGTAAATAACACATTATTATCTTATTGATAAGATTTCTCCTTCACAACCGGGGAAAAAACCAAGTAGTAGCAGCGTCAAAGACAAATCAAGATGCATTACTGAAGAGGGATCAGAGCCCAAAGTGCTATCGAAAAGTTCATAGGCTACTCGAACTAAGCTACTCGAAGTTTGAACTACCCGAGTTCGATCTACCCGAAACTTAAAGTCTGTTTTTTGTCTCAGGCCTCGACATTAAAGAGGATCCCACACTTTCGAATCGAAAATGTCTTACTCTAAATGCAAAACGAAATTTTTCTTATGGCAAAATACTAAAGTGACGTAAGAGTTCAGATTACTGACGTAAAGTATAAAATGAAGTTAACATGCAAAACAAAATCAAAGTGTGGAATCCTCTTTAATGTGGAGGCCTGAGAATAGCAATCATTAGAAAAAACAGATTTTAATTTTCCGATAGCTCGACCTGGTGCATACCTAGTCCATACCATGCGAAAAAAATAGATCTTTTTCTAACTACACTCACTTCAATTCTTCGTTCAATGTTACTTGTAAATCTATGCATTTACACGCTAAAACCTTCCGAAGTTTTTCTCAATTTTAATTATGTTTCTGTCTACTATTTGTTTTGAAGCCTTGAACAATACATCAATCGAAAAAGTGCAGACTGCTGAACAAAATGTGATACTTTTTAAAATGTTTTTAGTTCAAATTTGAGGTAGAAAGTTTGAAACAAATGAAATTTTGAGATATTTTATGAAAAGTTAGATTGTTAGAGTCATTCCAGAAAAGCTCAGGAAACTCTCTTTACCGAAAATTTTACGCGTTTAGCAAGTTTCGAATAATAACGCGCAAGAAGCTGCTAATGTGTAAAAATAAATCACAAGAAACGCACGTTGCCGTGGAAACAAAGGCTACACACGCGGGTTCCTGCGGTTTATTTTTACATACTTGCAGCTTCTTGCGCGTTATTATTCAAAAGTCGCTAAATGCGTAACATTTTTCGTAAACAGAGTTTCCTGCAGTTTTCTGGAATGACTATGACTGACTGGATAACTGATTGCCTAATAATAAAATATCTGATAAGATCGAAGGGTTTGTCAAATATTTTTGACGAAGTAATATTCAGTTTATGTGAAACAGCAATAATTATCTGAATACGTTTGTATGTATCAAAAAGTATCATAAGTGTCTCTAAAAAGGTTGAAAACAGCTCCAATCCGCTTTATTAACCATGCCTCATCGATCCTCAAGTAATTTTTGTAGGAAATTTTGGATTTGCATTGCTTAATAAAGCTGATTGGGGGCTGTTCTTTAACCTTTTTAGAGACACGCCTAATGATACTTTTTGATACATACAGACGTATTCAGATAGTTATTCCTGTTTCACAAAATATGAATATTTATACTTCGTCAAAAAGTATTTGACGAATCCTTCGATGTTACCAGATATTTTATTATCAGACAATCGATTAGCCAAACTAATTATAACAACATCTGCAATGTGAGTAAGGTAAACTGATATGAGAATCATCAGATCTCGATAAGTCATTGACGAAGAAGAAGTCGATGTAAATCGTTTCAAAATGAATGGAGTTAACCTGTACATAATAAAACGGCAAACGAATATATGCTCTTGAATCTCGATAGGGAAAGAAAAGGGCAACATACAGTAAAAAAACAACAAATTGCATTCAAGGCAAGCAGAGTATTACATCTTGCTTTCTGAAACGACTGTTGCATTTCCAGTGCCATTTTCCGCTGATGGAACGTGGACTCGAACAGAAGATCTAAGGTGAGGAAGTTGATTAACCGTTAATGTACTTTTTTGTGGTCCACGCGCTTGGGAAGTTGCCGACGATACAGCTAATATGCTATGCCCGGCGATATTCGGAGCTATTGTCGAAGATTTGAGTCGTTTCATTTTTATAACGCTGACAACAGTAGAAGGCCGTAGTTTTCTGAAAGATGATGACGGTGATGGAACATCATCTAAACTAAGACTAGTCGTACATCGTCGTTTTGGCTGTATTTTTGGTGCATCAATAATACGACCACGTGATGTTGTCGATTTTGCTCGGGGTAGTTTGATGACACTGACTGGTCTCTGGCTACTTGCTGTAGTCCTAGAAAGGTCCATTTTAGAAGTAGTAGCATCGTCGCTAACAGATGGTATAATCTTTTCGTTTTTGCCGTCTATGGATAAGTTATCGATTTTGTTGTCTTTTAGACGTACTACACTGGAATTCCCAAGGCTAGATGTTCGTGTGAGTTTCATTACATCAAGATTCAGCTCTGTCGATGCACTTGTTTGTCGACTAGTTTGCTGCTTGTTATAAGCCATATCATTTTCATTTGGTTTTCTTATTTGACTCCTGTTACTATGGTTACGTCGTTGTTTTGACCTTGAGCTTTCTGATTGTCTTACTGAATCTACTTTGGCTCTATTCTGTATGGCTATCGATGGTGATGCGTTGAATAATAAATATTTTCGTTTAAGTTTTTCTTCTTTTCGCCGACGACGAGCATCAGGACTACTAAAGAACCAGAAATAAAACGTGCCGAATTTGTGACATTTCTGAAAAAGATTAAGTAGCTTACCATAGCCACCACCACCAGCAACAAAAACAACATAATGCCAGCAGGGGTAGGAGAGCCAAAATGGATATACCAATGATTAATGGTAAATCAATATTTCTGTTTACGGCTGCTATAACAAAAAAAAGAACACGAATTAGTAGATAGCAACACGTTTCCGTCTGGAAATAATGAAAAAATATTAGAAATACTTTTTTTTGATCGTTCTCGCCAACCCGATTCACCACATTATATTGCTAAGTCTTATTATATTGACACAAACTAAGACTTATTATATTGTAATCAATAAGGGGCGTGAATGTGTGACTCAAGTTTCGGACGAAAGTTTTTACCTATCGAGTATTGGTATCGAGAAAATTATAAAAAACTTAATTTTTTAGTTTTTCTCAAGTCTGAATTGTCGACTGTTCTCCTCTCATCCCGTTGCGGACTTTTCCTAACCTCACCGTAGAGCATTTCTCAGGTTTTGGACAATAAAGTACATTTACTCACGTTTTAGTGTCGTAGTAGTAGTGATGAGGTTACATGTTCCAATACCTGTCAATCCCACGACAAAGGTTAGACAATATTGGTTGGACGGTATACTAGCACTAAAAAGAAAAATGAAAGTCGCACATTAATAATTTATCCAGCATCAAGTACAAAAATTACTTGTCTCTTGCAACGGCACAAATAATTTGCGGTCCAACTTGATTTGCTAGAGGGGTCCATGACAGCGATGTTGTATACAATGAAGTTGTTACTTGTGTGACTGGACCCTCAGTTACACCGGGGCTGAATGTTTGTTGTATATCAACCACACTGATTGATACGGTTGAACCTCCATATTGTTCAATTTCTAATGTTGTGGACCACGGCACACCAGCTTGGACACCAACACACGACTGATCAGTTAGTAAACCGGTAATAGCCGGAATGGAATAGGTTGGTGGAGTGTAGACATTGATAAGAAATTGGACGGGAACAGAACTAAGAGGTGATGATGTGGAAGTTGTATAAAAATCTTCAATCTGAAAAACGAGAGAGAAAACAAAAAAAAGTAAATCTTCAGCCATAACCCATACTAGAGTGAAAATTTTCTGTATTTTTCTTCCACATTCCCATCTATTAACCTTCACTTTTCTAACAGTCAATCTCTGGGAAGGTGATGCAGATATCTCGGTGACTGTACTCAATCCAAACTATGTGATCCTGAACCTTTACATTTTTTTTTTCAGAGTTACGATGACCTCAAACGTCGCCCCTATAAGTGCAAAATGAACACATTTCTTCTTTAATGTTCGCAAATGTGTTCTGGAAAGAAAGGCGTAAAACGTTTATTTTTGTTACTGCATTCGGTTTCGGAACGGCACATAAGCCGAATAACATATGTTGGACCTGGCAGCAAGACAAACAGTCTAGTTAAAAAAGTTTTGTACCAGAGTAATACAGATATAGTTACACTCATTTCATGTCAATGTCTAGTCTGTCCCAGGTAGAAAGATCGAAATAGTTTTTTGTGCCCTAATGACACGGTCGAGAAGGTATTTTACAATTTTTTCACTCGACTAAGGAACAGGCAAAAATGAAGTTCGCATGAGTAATCTTCGTCAAACTCTGAGTTAATTGAGGAGGCATATAAATCTTAACCGAAGACTTTCGTTTTTCAACTTCTCTACACTCTAAAAAAAGAATCGTATTCTCGGAAACGGCTTTCCGGGGAGCTTAACGGGTTTCCGAAACTATATGAAACGCTTATCTTATTCCTCGGAAACCGCCGAAAAAAAGGTTTTCGAGCTCTCGAAAACGCTTATCCGTTTCATATAGTTTCATTTTCGGAAACCGTCAAAGAAAGGTTTCCGAACGAATTTCATAAAAATACTTATCTATCTTACTTGTTTTATTCTGTAGTCTGTAGGGCTATTACCATTACGTTTTCGCATTTAGTTTGATGAAAGAACAATAAACATTCATCATTATTATTCGCTCCAGGTGAGGCTTCCCATTAGCGATAAAACCGGAGATATACTGAGGTATTTCATGTCCTAATAAGCGCTGCTTCATTTCCTACTCAAGTTTTTGCAAGAGACAAATTGTCGATACTCTAACGATCAGCTTTTGTGATGTGACTGAACTTTGCATCATACATAAAAGAACTTAAAACAAAGGGTTCTTTCGGAAACGCAAAGGATTCCAAAACCGAAGTGTTTTCGAGAAAACTTTTCACGTACCGAAGAGGATATTCTCGCAAACTGAAAAGGATATATTCGGATACCCAGCAAGTTTCTAAAGAAAGTTTAGGTTCCAACAGGGTTTCGGATAATACTCTTTCGGCTTCGGAGGATACCTTTTCCGTTTTCGAACATTTTCGCCAAATGTCTGTTAGGTTTCCGACAGTTCGGATACTCTGTACCGTATTCTCAAATATCCTTTCGGTTTCCAAAGTCACCTGCAAAAACTCCAAGGCTTTCGTATTACAGTTCCAAAACCAAAAAGAGTTTCCGAACCACATCGAATTCCCAAGAAAACGCTTTTTTTTTAGAGTGTAGGTGCAGCACAGGCAATTCAGTCATCGAATTTCATTTTAGCCCAGTAATTGGTATGACAACCAAGGGGAAACAGCATACTTCGTACCGACGAAGTACAGACGTACCGAAAAGTAGAAAGAAGTATGCTTTTCGCCCCCTGATCGTATTTTAATCAATTCAAAGTTTGATGAACAATACTCATATGAGTTTTTCTTTGATTTCAACTCCAAACAATAAAAGTAGGAAACAGATCCCTGAATGTTTAACTGTAACTCTGAAAGTATAAAGTCCAAAGTGTCAGATTTGCAAGTCCTCAGAGCTCTTAAAATCAGTTGACGAATGTGCAGACTTGCACCACTTTCACAGAAATTCACTCTGAACGAGGAGATTTATAAAAGTTAAGCAAACAGCTTTCACCTGCAAAGGAGCACAGTACCAATCGGTAACCAATAATGGCGCTATCGATATCACACACCCAGTTGACACTGTAGTTAAGGCTGGTATTTCTGCCGGATAACAAACATCTTGACATTCGCCAACTCCGGCACTCCAGCGACATATTACATCATCACCATCAACATCAAGAAATGGTATATGAATTTGTGTTGTTGTTCCGAATGGTATTGATGTCGGCGAGAAAACAAGAGCCACTGGCGGTGTATTGATTTTTCCCGTGTCCATTCTCCTCCGTATATCAATAACACTGGCAATTGTCCATTTGACTGACAAATTACTCATAAGTAACCGATATGTTCCAGATGGTGAAACGAACGCAACCGTAAAATAATCATCAGCATTGAAACTGACAATATCCGTTCGTTGAGAATAGGACAAATCTAATGATGTTGAATAACCAATACAATTACTTGGAGTGATCGGAGGAGCTGTATAACTAGTTGATGTTGCACAATTTGCCGTACAATTCAGATATGAACAACATCCAGTTTTAGTACCGATTGAAATCGGCAGTCCGATTGTTGGACAATCAACTTGTGATTTAATCCATGTGTAACTCTGAATGATTTCGATTTGTATTGGCGCTGTTATAGCTGAATTGTTAACAGGTTTCCATGTAATTGCACCACCATTAAAATGATTGGCTTTGATAATAAACGATCTTCGCAGTAACAATAGCCAGACAAAATAACACAGTATCCGACCACATGTCAATTGTTGCCAGCTAAAATTAGATCGACACATAGTTCGTATGTAGATCGAGAATAATACGTGATTCTGCTTTTTTGTTGTCAGAGCCTGAAACAAAATATAATTAAATTAAACTAAATTTATTATCAACTGAAAAGTAAATATTATTCAATTTTCATATAACTTCACTTCACTTTTTTTCTATTTCTTTGTGCGTCAATATAAAAGTAGGCCTAGAAATAAACAGACATAGAAAGATCAGTGCGTTACCCAAAACTATGAAGAATCATATACTGATTCTGAGTTGTTTTTATCATTCTTTTTCACGCCTCCTGTGAAACGGATCAGAGAAAATGTATAGTTAGAATTACCACTTAATAGTGGTCTGCCGTTCTGGTTTTTCTCGCTAGTTTGTGCAGGACACTTCCTACGCTCCAAAAATTTTACCGTTTCAGGAGTTCTAATTTTTAGAGAAGCTTTTTCTGGGATTGACTCATTTTAAAATCTTTAAATTTTCTAGTAATGTTTGGTTTTTTGCATAATTCGATGGCGGAGATCAAGTTCAAAAATGAAAAAAGCGTTTTTCAACGATCCCGACGTAATTATTACCGAAAAATTAATCTTTTTCACCGTCTCGTTGTCGTTTCATGGCGAAAAATGGTTTGAAAAACACTGTATGGATACTTTTGGTCCATGGACGCATTTTGAAGCAAAAGTATGAAGGTTGCTAAAAATCTATTCTCAGTGCCTCTCGTGAAAGCTTTTTCAAATTTCGTTAATTATATTGGAACCAAAAAAAAATACTAAAAAATGAAGTGAAACCATATAAACATTGACTAATATTTACTTTTGATTTATTGATAAATTTAATTTAATTATGTTTCATTCAAGCTCTGGCAATAGTATTATTCTCGATCTACATATGAAGGATTCTGGGGATTTGTGTAGCGATCGACTTCAGCTCACGGTCCGGCCGAGTTCTGCGTTACTACTAAACCAAGCTTCTGGAAACTTATGCAATTGTATTTCAGACACTTTACTCAATATAGCTAATATTTCTTTTCTGTCTTCAAGACAGAAATACATAGCAGATAGTTCATGAGATAATGGTGGCACTCTTCGTTCAACTTCGTTGAAGGTAGATCGTTCAGGAACATTGGTCATCACGAACAGAGAGTCTAAATCAAATTTCTGAAAGATGGGGTTTCAACTTGCCGTCGATCAGGGCTACTTTTTCAAATTTGGGTAGTTGTGTGAACCCAGATCCAAGAAAACGACACCGTTAACGGTTAGCTAACTGGTCGTTAAACGTGCCGTAAACGGACCGTTCTCAGAACCCAAAACTCGTAAAGTTTTAGGATCTTAAACAGAACATTAATGGGCCGTTTTTTTGCACTTTTTTTTAGAAAATGTTGACGCTGCTTTAAAAATGTTTTCGACCAGAAACACACACTCCGCGACTGAGCTGTAGAACTTTTGTTGGGGAGGTCTCGAAATTAAGCCACTCAGTTTGGAACCTCATTCAGCCCTAAGGTTAACAGATGCGAACTTCATCCTTACGCCATGAGAACCGCCGTCTTCCATGCTACAAAAGTACGTTGCGTTATTTTTGAAATATTTAGTCGTTTAGAGAAAAGTCAACGTTTTCTAAATCAGAAGAAACAGTCAGAATTCTGCACGCATTTCACAATTTTCTCGCTCAGAACTCACATTTCGAGCAATAAAAACAGCATATTCAGATTCAGAATCAAAAACTGAGTCGCCTGAGGCGCATTTCGAAACTTTTAGCTGGTTTTCAGTTTTGTGTAAAAATCTCGGCAGTTTTTCAACATAAGAATTCGAAAAAAAGTGAAGTAGTCAAATATAATAGAAATCGGCATCAGTCTACTCAGTTTTTGATTCTGAATCCGAATATGCTATTTTTATTGCTCGAAACTTGAGTTCTGAACGAGAAAATTGAGAAATGCGTCCAGAATTCTGACTGTTTCTTCTGATTTAGAAGAAACTGACTTTTCTCTAAACGACTAAATATTTCTAAAATAACGCAACGTACTTTTGTAGCATGGAAGACGGCAGTTCTCATCGCGTAAGGATGAAGTTCGCATCTATTAATTTTTCCAGGACCTTCAGCGCAACAGATATTGTGTTTTTATGAAAAAATCGAAATTTTTCTAAAAAGGGTGTATCCGAGTTTTTCGCGTTTTTTGGCTGGAAAACGCGCACTCCACCATTCTTTCAAATACGATATTCGTGATCAGCCTGAAATTCTGCGTCGAACCATGTGTATTTAAACGAACAATAAAATACTGCTTAAACTTCGAATACGTGCGCCTTCCCATGCATCTGCAGTTGTCGGAGTTATGGTAGATATTACAAATTCTGGTGTGGTTGCAATTGATAGACATCGACCTACGGATGTAATAGAATCTTGTTCGACATTGGATTCATATTCATTTATCCTTCATGGACGTTTTCAAATGTGATGCGGACTACAGTATGAACTGTGATCATTTCAATTCTGGCTGATCTATGTGCACGTGCTTTCGACGTGGAGTTGCTGAGAATACCAGTGCGCCATTGCGTGCTTAATCCAGTTGAGCTTGGATGGATAGGTCAGAAACATTATATCAGAGAAAATAATACACGATTCAGACTTAATGATATACATGAGTTTATCCTTGAATACTTATCGGCAGTTGGTCCGAAACTGTGTCAATCTTATTTTCGTGATGCAAGAAAAGCGGACGAATCATTTATAGTGGCTGGCAATTATGTCGAGCAACATATTGATCCTGGTTTAGATGACGACACTGACTTGCACAATTTACGTTTTGCTCAAGCTAAAGACAGTTTACATATGGAAACGATCAGTCAGAGCCGTAAAAATGTTGCCACGTTACTCAGCGTATGCGAAAACCTATAAATCAAATCGATTTCGAAGCTTTCCGACGGAAAAGCCTTTTTGAGGCAGTCTCATAAAATGTCCCGTAGTTCCCGAAAGGTAAAAGATAAAACTTTGAAAGCTGTCTAGTCCATTGGCTTTCTAAGCTACCGATAGTCACCAGGTACCGGTCCTGGGACTCGCAGGAAATCTGTTACAACGCCAGCGCCATAGAAAATCTAGATCTCGCTTGGCTCCCATTTTCAAGAGCACATCAAATGAGTGAAAAAAATTGAATTTTACATTTTTCATGGATGCAAAAAACCTTCATATTTTTGAAAAACAATTTTTTTCACCAGTTAGGATAAAAACAACATGAGATTTTTAATGTGTAAATCTGAAGCTTATTCAAAGGCGCAATTTTTAAGCTCAAAATTTTTGAGATGGATTATTTTTAAAACATGAGATAAATTAATTTAAAGATGACAAACACCTATTTTCCTACAGAACGCCTGTACTTTGAAACTCTACATTTCCTCTCCTAATGGCCCAATAAAAAACCCCACACACCAGTCGATGCGCCTGTGCCTCCTCTATCCAACTGTTTGTATTTCATTCCTGTTTGAAAGGGGCTGATATATACGGAAAACGTCTATATAGGAACAAGTTTTTTTTGATTTTTTTCTTAACCATGATGCAAAGAAGAAAACTGCATTAGTTAGAAGAATTTCTAAGGTACAAAGTATTTTATTCCATTCTTAAATTAATACCCGTTGAAAGTTGGTTTAAAGCTCATTCTCATAATTCTGTAATTTATTATAAAATTTTATCACATAATAAAACAGGAAGATACTTCTTTTTTACATAAAGCGCTACAATTTTGCTAGATGACGTATATACGATCTATGAATGCTTCTAGTGGTATCAGATATTCTCAACACATCGAGCATTGTTGGTGACGACATTATTCTGTCTAAATACGCCCGAAGTACTTTACGAGGCACATAAGATTCAAACGTTTTTACATTTGAATCTTTCAGATAATTCATTATTTCTTGATCGTCCATTATATGGGCCAACAATGGATTATTGTTTATGTTTTTCTTGATCAATTTGTATAGTACATCGGGAACATTATGTACATTTTCAACTTGTAGGTTGAGAGTGGATGATGTTCTCGGTTGAGTGTCAACTTTGTTCACACAGCGAACAATTGACTGCCTGATATGGGACAAAATTCGAGATGCAATGCGACATTTCACTTTAACCTCTTGATGAGTGCTTGCGGGATAATGTCGTCTGACGAGCAAATAAATATCGGTGACGGGCGGATATTTCTCAACTGTGTTATTATTCACATCGGATAAATACTCTAATAGTGGCCGACCATCGTCGTCATCGTTCATCAACCATTTCAGATACGGATGTTTTCCTATAATGAAACAAAATCTACATGATCACGTTGAATGTTTTTGAGTACCGTTTTAGATTGAACACACTTCACTACTGTTTTTCGTTCAGATATACTGGCTCTACTGAATGGCTCTTACCAATAATCGTTAAAGCTGGCTTACTATGGGACTTTTCGTGAAATCTTTAGATCTCAGCGAAAAACAATTGTGGAGAGCTGCGAAACATCTCGTTTTGCTCAGAACAGAATAAACCATCGTGTGGTATGTTCAAATGTATTTCAGAATTGAATCTAAAACTATTCTTAAAAATATGTCTTACTCAAAACCCCTAACTAGAAGCCATGGTTGTCTGGAAGTCCTACTAAATGAATCTTTAAAGTATTTTTTGAGATTGTCACAAGAAAGAGCACAGTCTTAAAATCCTTCCGAATCGAGTTTTATTAAAAGTAGACCAGCGGTTCTAAAGATAGTTTTCTGACGCCTATTCTATCGCTTCCGTCACCTTCTCATGAGCATTAGAAAAAACTGCAATAAACAAAAAGAGATAGAATGTAACATCTGTAAAACGCCTACATTCATTTCATCTGTTCAATTTTGTATGCTACATGAGGCATAAATGCATGAGACCAAATTGTTGATAATTCTTGCCTCTTTATCGTTATTATTCTCGGTCCGCCACTGTTATAGCTACTCTCCGGGATATTCTACTGATCTCGATCATTTTACGAGTGTTCTACATAAAAGACGAAATCTCGACAGAAACAAACAACTTTTTTAGGGAATTTGAGAATTTTCTAGAGTTCGATTTTTTTTCCTATGCTGTTGGACTTGGCGCTGCCGGGAAAAATTTGGTTCATAGGCAGTCTTTTCTTTTCATTAAGCTAATAAAGAAGGTAGATTACAGGGTTCTCTCGAGAAGCACTAACGCCTCATTAGAGAATCGCTCGTAATCTTTACTTTATACCTTTTATCTACCTCAGAAATAGAATACACGTATGATCTAAATATTTTCACTAACACGACATTACGTAGACTATCATACCAGACTGCTTTTTCACTTACAGTGGAAAGAATATTGTAGTCTCAGTACTTCGATGTTATTAAATTACTATCCATTCCAAAATACAATGCCATCAGTTGCTTTTTAAATAAATTTTGGTAGAAGATAGATAGAGACCTGTGGTTTGCAGTTTTTAAAACTAGACATCTGACCACATATTTCTTTAAGCAAAAGTGAATTTCGGAAAACATTCTGAAGCGGATTTTTCAATGGATCTTTGCAAAACTAGCTTGGATTTGCCGAATTTCACATAGGAATGTATTGATTTTTTTTCATGGACTGATAGTCCGCGGTGTTGTCTTCAAAATGGGAGTAAAGTGAGGCCTTGAATTTCTCCAGAATTTCGAACGAGTCCCAGGAGTGGCACCCGGTGACTCTTGGTAGCCCTAAAGACGGATTGTCCATGCTGAGCCTCGTAGCAACATTTATTTTTCGGAAAAGTTTTAAACATCTACCGAAAAGCCAGTTTTACGAAAACTAGCGTTTTCAGGCTGTTTTCACCTAATATTAAAAAATTCACTATTCGCTCAAAAAACATCAGAACGAGTTCAAAACTTCAGAATGTAGAGTATTTAAGTTATTCTATATCCTGTTTATAGAAGACCTCGAAATAAATCTAATTAAAGCCCTAATGTTTTCCAAAAGCGTTTCTGGAAAACCTATTAACACGAAAATATGTTTTTTGATTTTTTCCATCTTATCACATTTTGCGCACAACATTAATCATATCCTGAGATATCACTCCCATTCTTGAAGACAACACCCCGGGCTATCAGACCATGAAAAAAAATCAATACATTCCTATGTGAATTTCGGCAAATCCAAGCTAGTTTTGCAAAGATCCGTGGAAAAACCCGCTTCAGAATGTTTTCCGAAATTCGCTTTTGCTTAAAGAAATATATGGCCAGATGTCTAGTTTTAAAAACTGAAAACCGCAGGTCTGTATCTATCTTCTATCAAAAGTTATTCAAAAAGCAACCGACAGCACTGTATTTTGGAATGGATAGTAGCATGCAAATTCACTGTAATACTTGTCATTACCGAGACGTTTTGATATGTGATATTTGATTATCTCATTTAATGGCATTTGTGCTCTCAACTTTGATTCAATTTCAATCTGTTTTAATATCAACGGCATATTAGGCATGACTCGTCTCAAAAATGTTCGATGCATTGATCTCAATTTAAAAAATAGATGATTGGAGACAAAAGTTTCATACTGAAGATGTTTCTCGAGTGTAGGTAGAATATGTTTGCGACCGTATAGTAGAATTTCGTCGGCCGGTGGTGCATGCCATACTTTCCAGGGAGCCATGTTTATAATATAATCGATTAACTTCGGATAATCACTGACATATCTCAAGTGTTCATGTTTCTCCGAATATTCGTTGATAATATCACACGCCAACTGACGATATTGTTTCTCTGATTCCTCGTCTACCACTTTCCACACTTCTTCATGAATAGATTTCGGTTCTTCTTCAACAATATAGATGACTGGCTTTGATAAAATGGATGTTGCCTTCTTTTGTCGAGACCTTTTAACAGGTCTTGGTACTGGTTGATAGTACAGTTCATCATCACTGGTAATATCAAAACCATTCTCTTTATCACCCGTTGTCGATTGTTTGGTGCTATTTACCCAAATACATATTTCATCAAACGAAGGTAAACGTTGTTGTGGACACAAGTGACAATTGGTGAGAAGGATATTTCGCCAGTTTCGTCTCAAATATTTTGATATTTTAATAAAATGTTTATCAGGTGATTTCATCTTTAACAAACGAAACAGACTTGTAGATTTCATTTCGTAACAGAAAAGCTAAATTTTGATTTGAAAAATTTTAAAAGGAACGAAGTAACCTAAACAAAATTTCGAGTTTATTACTCTGAGAAAAAGTGACCTGCTGATGACAATTGTCGTACTTAAGGGAGGCACCCCTCGCCCAAACATACGCTCAAAATTTGCCAGTTTGTAGAGCATACCTTCAAGGGTATACGTGTACAATAACTCACGGGTTGGATAAGTTTTGAAAATTGAAAAAATCGATTTTTCCAGCTGTTCTGCACCTGTTGCAAAAAGTATTTCTTGCGAAGCCTGCCGCGTCAACGATCATCTCTATCGGATGACATATTTTCTTTTCCCCAAAACTTACTAATTAGCAGTCATTTTAGTCCATTCTTAGAAACACTAGATTCCTAAGCAGTTTATTACTGTGTCCACGTAAGCCATTTTTTCAAATAACTTTGGTTATCCATAGTAGAGAGTTATGCACTTCGTCATTCGATAGACAAGACATCGTCAAAACTCTATGTAACACACGAGCTTCCGAAAAAGTTTTAAAAACCGGTTGTTCAGCATATCTCTGGAAAATCAAGCCATAACTCTGAAATTCGTAGTATAAATGAATTAATCTTAGATATGCTGAACAACCGGTTTTTAAAACTTTTTCGGAAGCTCG